TTGGAACTATAGAAAGCAAACTTAGCACTAATAACAGGCATTCATCGGTAACAGTGCTGTAAGGGATTGCCTGTATTTTCAGGTGCTACCGTGTCGCTCTGCACTTCCCGTTTTCTGATGTTTTAGATATCTATCATTGTTTGTGGAGGTTTGGCACGGGCAACACTGAGGAATAACTTCCGCGAAGGCTATTTTTTATCCGACTCAAAATCAGAAAGGGAACAGAAAGTCTTCATGGAGTTTCACAATCGTACCATAATGCCGTACATGGTACGTGTTTCACTTGTACACCTGCGAGCACGGTTGCGTTTGTGTAGATTTACAGACTAATTTAGATCCTCGCAACGCTGCGAATATCTAAATAATTTGTTGTAAAACCTCGCAGTCAGCTGTTTAGCCCTATTCTCATGAATTTGGTCTTGTACCAACAAATCTAACTTTTCAAAGTTTAGTTTTTGTTCCTAAGCATAAGTCACTGCTTTTGGACAGCTTTTCTCTTCTCTCATTTGGACGATTTTGACATTTAATTCCGGAAGAAGCATCTCTTTCTTCTTTGGCGGCTACTAAAATAGCGCATTTGCTGCAATGCTAGGTACATTTCTAAGGATAGATATTCCCAGTTCACAGGAGCCACTAGCGCTCACTGCTTTCACACCGACAAGAGGCGTCTTTTGATGACTTTTTTGATTCTCGAGTGATAGTGTAGCACAGTGGGCCTAATAGTTGCTATCGTCACCTGATAAATGCATTTTTTAGATGGCACTCATTGGGGAGTGTGTGTTTCCTGATTGTTCCATGCTTGAACGCGAAAATTTTATGGAAATGAAGACAGAAATTACACGCGGCCTGGCATCTTTGCTTCCTCCAGATGATTTCTACGATAACAAATTACGGCGGCTCGGAAGTCTTCTTCTTTTTTCGTCCTCCCCCCACTTCGTACTTCTTGAGGTTTTTTTTCTGACAAGTTCCGGCGTAACGCCACTGAAATAAGTAGCATCTGCTGCTTAGGATCTGTTATGCGTCAATCCTTGACTTTATTCTTGAATCCTTTTTACGAACAGTGACATCGCTGAAATACGCACTGCAGCGCGCACCCGAATCAGAGTCCTGTGTAAAATATCACTAAACCTGATGCCTTTATTCACTGTCCTGGAATAGCGTAAGAATGATAATAGTTGATAGAGTATCGACGGGCTCCAAGTCAGCAACTGTGGTTACTTTGGATAGACCAGACAGCACTGGACGAAATGTCTGGTGATTAGTGAAAAACTGAGCAAGTATGGTAGCTAGTTCTTTGTTATCTATAAAAGTTGAGAGTGATGGAGGATCGGTACAGATACGAGAATTTGGAGGTGGAGGTCGAGTGATAGCACACGTTACAGCAAAAGTGAAAGACGGCTTGCCTGTACCACATTTAAGCCTTTGGCTGGATTGGATGTTAAAAATCTTTAATCAACAAAACAAGCCAGTCGTTTGGTGCGTTGACTTACGCAATGTCGCCTGTCCCAGGTTATCAGTAACTGAAACTTGAAATAATAATAACAACTGATATGACGAACAAACTGGGTGCTACAGTCTAGGCGCAACTTTTTCGGGAATAGCTGGTCTGAGGACCATCGAATTCTTTCAGGGTCGACCAAAATGTCCCACAAAAGTATTTGTTACCCAACACTGCTTGTTGTGCTGGCTTCGTAGTCCAACTAATAAAATATCTGAAAGTGGACTGGCTTCTAAATGACAGAGATTTCACTGCTTTGTGCACAATTTTTGCAGTCAGTGCAAGCTCCTTGTAGGATTATGTTACATCACCGGACAGCAACACAACGTCGTTCGAGTATCCATATATGACTTCTCACGATAAACTTGTTTCCATGCAGAATGTTGTTCACGGAGTACGCGACGGAGGTTTTTCTATGTTGCGCTATTTGATGGCATTTGATGCAAAAACTCCTGCTGAACTGGAGAAAATAAAATACGCTGAAGTACAGTGGTATAAAAAGCTAAGGGTAATTCGGTTTTGGTAACTTACGTTCAAACGGAAGCATTAATCTTCACT